TGAAAAGTTTTTTTAGTACGAAATCTTGTCTTTCTAACGCCATCTAGCGTAAACCGGTCGCACTTATATAACGCAAGATACACATTACTAAAGCCATCTGTTGGAAAAATAATGGATTTTTTTTTACTACACCTTATATATAAGAATAAACAAATGATTTCTTTACAAGGAGAAAATTAGTGTTTTTAAACGTAAAAACTGTTTAAATAAATATTTGCTTGTTTTAAAAGTAAATAAAATACAAGTAAATCATTTTATAAATCTGAATAAATTATTTTCTAATATTAAAATTATTTTTTTATGTTTCAAATTAAAGTTTCTTTTACTATCAGAAAAAAATTTATTTAAATTTACAAAATAATTTATTTTACTTACTTTTAAAACATGTAAATATTTTTTAAATATACTTTCTACATACTTTTTAAAACATATTTTAAAAGAATCTATTCTTTAAAAGAATTTATTCTCTTCTTTTAAATAAATCATATGTTTTCGTATATGGATATACCATATGTACACAATATAAAGCATCTCTCAATCAAAGTGACAATGACGCAGTAGGTAAGGTGGACGACACAAGAATCAGCCCAAATAACAGACTCACGTCAAAATGATGTAAAAAACTGGTCATAACTGGTCGAATTACATGAAGTGACTAAATAACGATGTCTTTAAAACGTCTTTTTTGTGACATCTTAATGACGTTTCTGTATAACGCATTAAAAACGTGTTATTGACGTTTAGAGACGTCATAAAACATCATTAATTCGTCTAAAATGTCGTCATCGATCTGTGACATTAGACTATCATTTTGACGATATTCTCATGGTATTTTTGATCATTCCTTGGTTATTTTTTATCCTGAACTTACTTAGATTTGGATATCATTTTGACGTGTCTGCTACCTGAGAGAAGTCTCAGGCTTGAATCTCAGCAATGCCCATACAGCACAGAAGCTTGCAGCAACATTGCTACAACGTTGCAAGGTTGCATATTGTAGTGCAATGTTGCAGAGACTTTGCAGTGACATTAATTTGCAATATTACTTTAGCAATATTGCAGTAATATTTAAAAAAATATTACGAATATAATATATTTTATTTATTTACTAGTTATTTTTGTTACTTGTATTTCAAATTCTGTAATGTTTTACATCAATAATACTTACAGAATAGTACTTAGAATAGCACTCGTTAGTGGCAATCATTAATTTGTCTTATTGCATATTTTTT